TAGGCCTCTGGTTCTCATTACTTGGAATATTTCTTGCCATTCTCTTCTTGCTTGGAGTGTTTCCACTGCAAAGTCAGTAGATAATATTATTACGGCTCCCTCGTATGTTATTTCTTTTTTCTCCCTTGCTGCCTTTAAGATTCTCTCTTTGTCTTGGAATTTTGCCATTTTGATAATGATGTGTCTTGAAGTGGGCCTTCTTGGGTTCCTCTTGATTGGGACTCTCTGTGATTCCTGGATTTGTGTAACTTTTTCTCTTATGAAATTAGGGAAGTTTTCTCTCATTACTGGTTCAAATACATTGTCTATCCCTTGTTCTTCTTCTTCTCCTTCTGGTATTCCTATTATTCGCATATTGTTACGTTTCATATTGTCTTGCATTTCTCTTAATCCCTCTTCATTCTTTCTGAGCCTCTTTTCATTTTCTTGCTCTTTCTGTGAGATGCTTTCTACCTTGTCCTCCAACTCAGTAATCCTATCCTCCACTTCATCTATCCTACTTTGGAAACTTTCTACTGTGTACTTCAATTCGGAAATTGTGTTCTTCATTTCCTCTTGTCCCTTGCTGATAGTTTCCATTTCCTTTTTCATATTGATGTAGTTTGCAGAGGATCATTGTAGTTCCTTTGTAGTTTCTGGTAGTTCACTGTGAGCTCTTTGAACTTAGTAATAACCAGTGCTTTGAATTCACTATCTGATAGTTGATCAGCGTCTATTTCATCTAACATTCTTTCTGAAGTTTCTTCTTTTTCTTTCATTTGGGGGTTGTTTCTTTGTCATCCCATTGTTTGAGACTCTTCTTGTTAGTCTCTGCTTCTAAAATTGATCTGTTCTGATACCCTGGTTTTATGGTGTGAACTTCTGTGGTATGATCCTTGTGAAGTTCAGTGGTGCAGACTCCTTGAAGTTTCTTGATGTTCTCCATCTCTACCTACTCTCACGCTGGTCACTGCGTTGGTCACCTACCACTGCTGAATGTCCAAGCTCTAGTAGCTGTCTCCTCAAGCTCCCAGGCCCGTTACTACAGCAGTGGCACAGGCGCTGGGAATGTCCTGGCTCCTGTAGCTTGCTTCTCTGGGACCCAGGGCCGTCACAGGGTTTGGAGAGTCCCGGCTTCTGTACCTGACTCCCCAGGGTCCAGTCCCGTCACTATGGCAGCGGCACAGGAGCCTCCGCTGTCCCTGCTCTCGCAACTGACTCTTCTGTTTCCCAGGCCAGTGGCTCAGGTATCAGCACAGTGGCTGAGAAAGTCCCAGCTCCGGTTCCTGACTCCTCTGTCACCCAGGACCGTCACAGGGGCTTAGAGTGTCCGGCTCCCATACCTGACTCTCCGGCTCCCAAGCCTGTTGCTATGGCGGCGGCACAGGGGCCACCTGTGTCCCATCTTCAGTAGCTGACTCTGCCGCTGTCTGGTGTTTCCGTGTTGGTCACAGTCTCTGGTCTTTTAATTTCATATATGCTGGGAAACCAATGGTTTGTTGTGCTGTTTCTCTATATATCTGCCAGGATTTTCACCCATGAGTACAGGAGCTAGTATCAGCTCCGTCCTACTCCGACGCCATCTTCCCAGCATCCTCTATTTGTGTTTTTTCTTGATGAGTCTGGTGAAAGGCTGTAGAGTTTCTTTATCTTTCCAAAGAACCAACTTCTGAGTATATTCATCCTTGAATTCTTCTTTTAGTTTCTATGTCATATAATTCTGCTCTGATCTAGGTTATTTCCTTTCTTCTCCTTGCTCTGGGCTTTTTTTTATTGTTGTCCCTCCAGTTTTTGTAGGTTTAAAGTTAGGTTTTTTATTAGAAATATTTCTATATTTTTAAAGTAGGCCTGTTTTGTTGTGGATTTCCCTCTCCAGACTGTCTTTACTATGGCCCATAAGTTTTAGACTGTTTTGAGCTCATTTTCATTTGTTTCCAGAAACTTTCAGATTTCTTCCTTCATTTCATTCTTAACCCACTTATTGTTTAATAGCATTCTATTCATTCTCCATGAATTTTGATGTTTTTCAGTTTTTTCCTTGAGGTTGGTATTTAATTTCAGTTCCTCGTGGCCCAAGAAAATGCTTAATATGATTTCAGTTTTCTTGAATTTGTTAGGGCTTGTTTTGTTTCCTATCATGTGATCTTTCTTGGAAAATGTTCCCTGTGCATTTGAAAAGAATATGTATTTTTCTTCTTTGAATGCAAGGCTCTCTCTATATATATTAGTTAACTCCATTTGATCTAGGGCATTGTTCAATACCACAATATCTTTGTTGATATTTTGTTTAAAAGACATTTTTATTTTTGACAGTGGGGTGTGAAATTCCTTACTATAACTGTATTGCTCCCAATATCTTTCTTGAAGTCCTCTAAGATTTTCTTTATGTATTTGGGTGCTCCTATGTTGAGTGCATTTATATTACAATGTTTATGTCTTCTTGATGGATTCTTTCCTTAAGTATTTTGAAGTGAATTTCTGGGTCTTTTTATATGGCTCTTTTTTTGAAGTCTATTTTGTCTTGTATAAATATTGCTATGCCAGCTTTTTTGTCTTGTTCATTTGCTTGAAATATGTGTTTCTAGCCCTTCACTTTCAGTCTGTGAAGGTATTTTGTTCTTAGCCGATTCTCTTATAAGCAGCATATGTGTGGGTTATGCTTTCTTATTTATTCAGCTATTCTATGTCTTTTGATTGAAGCATTTAATCATTTACATTTAAGGTTATTGCTGATAGGTACTTTTTCATTGCCATTTTTTGTAACTGTGTTCCTCTGTCTTTCACTGTTTTTCTTCCTGTTCTTAATGCAGACCCTTTAGCATCTCATGCAGAGCTGTTTTGAAGAAGGTATATTCTTTGAGGCTTCTTTTGTCTGGGAAGCTCCTTATTTGGCCTTCCATTTTAACTGAGAGAGAGTCTTGCTGAATCAAGTAGTCTTGGTTGCAGGCCTCTTGTTCTCATTTCTTAGAATATTTCTTGCCATTCCTGTCTGGCTTGGAGCATTTCCATTGAGAATTCAGCTGCTAGTCTTATCAGGGCTTCCCTGAATGTTACTTCCCCTTTTTCCCTCTGCCTTTAAGATTCTCTCTTTGTCCTGGAATTTTGTGATTTCAACAATGATGTGTCGAAGTGGACCTCTTTGGGCTCCTCTTGGTTGGGACTCTGTGTTTCCTGGATTTGTGTGACTTTTTCTCTGAGCTCTTTCAATTTTTAAATAAGACATTTTTTTTCCATAGGAGTCATTCCTATATTTCTATATTAGAACTACATAATTCTGTGTTTCATATGGTCTGCTTTGTTTCCAATGCTTTCTAATGTAGTGTTCATCTCATTTATTGAGTTTTTGAGCTCCATAATTTCTGTTTGTTCTTTAAAGCATTTCTTTTGCTCATTTATTATATTCCTTGAGATCATTAGCTTTTTTTGAGTTGCTTTTTATCTTGTTGACCTTTTCCCTAACTGCAATATTGAATTCTGTGTCATGTAAATCAGTCTTCCATATCTTTGAGATTGGTTTTTGGAGGTATTTTACTTTCTTCATGAGCTACCTTCTTCTGCTTATTCATAGTACTTGATGTATGGTTTTGCTGCCTGGACATTTGATACAGTGAATTTTCAAAATTTTTTAAGTTGTATTTTGCTTATAAGAATTCATCAGGTTGATAAGTGGAGATCTTTTGTGTTGTTGTTTTTAGGTAGATGATATTATGGTATCAATTTTTGTCTTCTTACCTAGTAAAACCTCCAGGATCTTTTTGGGATGCCTTGACCTTGGTTGTGGAAAACACCCCCTATTCCCCAAGTTGATGAGCATCCCTTCTGTCCAGGCAACTTTGGTTTCAGGGCACCATCTATATTGTGATGAGCCTCCAGGCCTATGAATTCTTGGTGCTGTCTCCTGTAGGCAGAAACAGCCAGTCATGCTGTGCTAGTCAAAGCATCTCTACTGCTTCCTTGGGGTTCTGCTTCTGCCAGGTTCCACTAAAAGTAGAGGTTAAATGAGGTTAAGAGGTGTTAGGTTTACAAGTCTCTGGTTTGCCTACTTGCAAGTGATGGCAGCCACTACTCAATGATAGCTGTCACTGAGTTTAGCTGTAATGGATGCTGGCTACTCAGACCAGAATATTTTCTTCTCCTCTATGTGAGGGCTGCATTCAACTTCATCATGGCTACTACATCAGCTGAGGACCCTCTCTTTGTCCTTTGCCCCACCCCACCTTCCTTACTCTTCAATATGCCCACCTTCAGATGTCTCACTATGAATTTCTCAGGCATTTTTGTGTGTTAAGCAGGTATCTTTTGCTGAATTATAGTTCTTCAACTTTTTGTAACTTAAAGAGGTCTTTTCACTGTACCATGATATTGACATCTCCTGTTGAGTGTATTAATTTAATATTCATGACACTTGACACAACTACTCTCTTAAAATTACAATATGGTACATCAATCACTCATATTTTAAAAACATGCTGGGTCAAAATACAGTTTCATTTTTATTTTTCTGAGGAAGTTCCATACTGTTTTCCATAGTGGCTGCACCAGTCTGCATTCCCACTAATGTGTAAGTGGAACCTAATCAACAAAACAAATAAGAAAACAAAAGATAACCAGAGACATTGAAATAAAAAACTAACTGACAGTAAACAGAGGGAAATGGGGAGAGGGATAGTGAGGGAAAATAGGAGAAGGGCAATCAAGGAACATGTGTAAAGGACACATGGACAAAGCCAAAAGGGTAGGTTCAAGGGTGGGGGTGGGGGTAGGTGCTGGGGTGAAAATGAAGACAACTGCACTTGAACAATAAAAATAAATAAATAATAAAAATAAGCAATCAAGTCTTTACAAAAATTAAAAAATACACACATGTTTATTTTTTATCACTTTGAATATTGTCTTTTCATTGCTTTTTTTAAATCTTAGATGATGTCACGACCTTAATCCATTATATTGAAAAATTGGTATTAAAAGACCATCTGAAATTGATGACATTTCCAATGGTAATAATTTTACTTTCATATTAGGCTTCAGAAGTCTCTAGAAACAGAAGTGGCTCTTTGTTGGCCAGGCCAGTTCACAGCCTAGTAGCTGCTATTCGAATCCAGCATCAACATGAGTCATTGCCGCTGGGTATGTATCTTGCTTTTTGAACCCTTGGATACCCAATAACTAATCTTATTTTCCATATTGTGAATCACTTAATATTGATGATTCTGTGGATTTTTTCTCCACTTTTATGATATAGTCTTCCCCTTTATCCCTTGCTCCCATTCTCCACTCTCCTGTGCCTCTTTTTATTTTCTCTTTCTTTTCACTTTGTCCTCTTTCATCCCTGACCTCTTTCTTCTCTACTGTCTTTCAGACACACACTTCTCCTCATATTTACTTCATTCATGAATTTGTTAGTTATAGCCAGGGAAGCATAGTTTAATGTGGTGATGAATTTAGTTGCTGTAAGGGGCAGTTTTTATTTTTTTTATTTTATTTATTTATTTATTTTAATTTTATTTAGTTATTTTTCAAGTACAGTTTTTTGTCTATTTTTCCCATCCCAGCCTCCCCCGCCCCTTGCTCCCCACCTCCCTCCCTTTTCCTCCCCCCTTAGTTCTCATCCCTGTGTCCTTCCTATTTGTTCCTCCAGCAGTTTTTAATTTAAACTGCCATTCTCTTGTGTTTATGGGGATAAGCTGACACAGTCTTCATTTCTAAACTCATTTGCCTCTTTCATAAAACATGCCATTGTATCAAGGGAAATTAGGTGACAGAGTCTGAATGGATTTGAAGAGTTCCATTGTCATGACTAGGAAATCAATCCGTGGCCACAGGTCATAAGGGTCAAGTGCTCAGAAAAATATTTTTGAATTCATAATCTTTTGCTTTAATAACTATGGCGAATGACAGAGAGAAGTTATATAAGGAAGAGAGTAGAACTCCCCTCATAGGAAAACTACTTTATTTTTCACCTGTTCACACAGGAATGTGTTAACACTTAGTTAAGTTTCTGGGATATTGGGATGATTAACTTAGATCTAGTTGGCTTTTGGTGTGACTGTTTAAAAATAATACTACTATTATATCACTGGAAACACCCTCAAGGCTTACATTTTTTATGAGTGTGCTACCTGCCCTTCAAACTTTTAAATTAATTCTGGTATTAAGCAACCCTCATCCAATCATCAGAGAAATCATCTGTGGTCTACAGATTCAACCACAACTTTGCACTTTTGTCTATTTCAGCATATAATGACAAGATTGTGGCATTTCTTCGCCAGCCAAACATTTTTGAAATGCTGCAGGAACGTCAACCAAGCTTGGCAAGAAACCATGCACTTAGGTAAGGGCTTCTCCTTCACCCCTATAATCCCAGATCTCTCCAGCTTTTTTTCAAGTGGGACAGCACCTATATGGAGAGCCAGTAGAACCTTGTGGTGCTTTTTGTCCATGCAATTAAATTATAACTCAAATACTCAAAATGAAGGGGTCAGGGTTTTCTAATGTTCTTAGAAATGTTACATTAAGCAATAGTCATTTTATTAAGTTACATATTACTCATATGATCCTAAAATGATTTCCATTGATTTTGAAGGAAACACAGAAATGGAACAAAATACTTTTAATTAAAAGTTATTTATGTAAAGCACCATATAAATTTTTAGTTTTGAAATATAAATATGTCCTATCATGTACCAGGGTCATTTTTGAACAAATATCTCTGAAACTCTGAATCAGCTGGAAGGAGTAGCAACAAAGTGATTTGGAAAGCATTATGCTAAGTAAAATAAACCAGGCAGTGAAAGACAAATGCCATATGATCTCACCTATAAGTGGAACCTAATCAACAAAACAAATGAGCAAGCAAAATACAACCAGAGACATTGAAATAAAGAACAAACTAACAGTAACCAGAAAGGAAGAGGAGAGATAATAGGGGAAGGGCCATCAAGGAACATGTACACAGGACACATGGCTAAAGTCAAAGCTGTTAGGTTTAGGGAGGAAGAGAGAGAGGGATGGGTGGGGTGGGTAGTCATGGTGGGGTGAAAATGAAGACAACAATAAAATACTTGAACAACAATAAATAAATTAAATAAATAAAAATATTTAATCTCTTCTTAAGAAGAGAGAAAACCTACAATAGAAAAGGCACAGAAAATGGAACATACAACATAAGGTGGTAGAATTAAATCTAAATACACAAGTAATAACTATATATATATGAAGAGAATGACTGGATATTAATAAACAAAAACTGAAAAAAGATAAAAAGATAATATATTTTCTCAACTTAAATCTCACTTTCTCATCAAAATATTCAAACACCTCTTTCCTTTAGTTTACTCTTCAGAATTTCAAAAGCTGAAGATGTAAGGAGTTTGAATTCTTGCTCACATAGGAACTACCAATAAAGCCAATGTTATTCAATTATTTACCCTCAGTCTTCTCATTAGTGAAATAGGACCACAGTATAGGCACCATTGGGATGCTTAAATGGGGATGTGTGTAAAATATCAGACAAAATGGGTGAGAATGCAGTCAATTAATGCCATTAATTCCTCACCTCCCATTTGGTGGTCTTTTGAGTCTTTCCGAAAACTGTAAAACTCTAAATAATTTCCTCAATAAATCACAAACATTGTAAAATAACCTCTTTGCTATTCAAATCCTTATTAATCCTGTCAAGATATATTAATTCCATTCTATCCCACCACCACACTTTAATTGATGCCTCTTTTCCCTATGCTTTTACCTGTGTAAATTAGAACCACCATCTTTCACATTGCTTATTGTCTCGATTCCTTCCTCTGTATTCATCTCCACATCTAAATATTTACCTCCTCACTTTTTCCTTTTTAATCATTCTGTTGACTTCTCTCCATCTTGGCCAATATTTGGATCATCACCATTTCACTCCTGAATTTTGAGGGGCTTCTTAGAAGATATAGCTTGTCACCCTATCAAAACCAGATTTAAATTTTATATAACAGATCAAAATGTGACTCTTCTGTCCCTCAAAACAGCTTCCATGGCTCTTATTCCATATGAAATAAATATTTCTAACCACAATTTCCATGGTCTCCAAAGTGTGGCCTTAACCTAACTCTCCATCTTGTGCTAGTTTTTATTCCTTCTGGTATTTTCCACCTCCATAAAAAATGCAGTGTTCTTTCCTAATTATGCTCTTTCTGTAATGGCTTCTATCCTACAGCCATCTCATTCTGCTTTAAAGGCTCAAATCAAATACAAAGATTTAGTGATCAAGGCAGGCTTTATTATTTTTGTGCCTTTCTTTAATAATTTTCTTTGTGTCTCTAAGATATTTCCCCACATCTCTTTTATTCTATTATGAACTTATGTCTCCCTACAATGCTATAAATTCTTTAGAGCAGGACCTTGTCTTTGTACCTACTCTGGTACCTCAGAACCTTGTGCTTTAATTTGAAGATACAAAACAACTTTTATAGTGAAAGAAATTCTTTAATATAAACAGTTGAGCTTCGGCATAGTATTGTGTCACTGCCACTTATTTTCATTCAGCTCTGCCCAAATTTCATAACTTTACCACAACAAGAAGTACCATACTCAGTCATACGGGTCATTTATTCATTGGCTGCTTTATTTTTCCACAATATATAATAATTTAAAGAAATTTCCAAGGAATTTTCAGAGGATTTATATTAATTGAAAAGTTTTCTGATCCAAGATAGTGAAGGAGTAAGTAGAAATTATATTAGCTTCCTCCCATGACCAATCTGGGGTTAAAACTAAATTGCAGAGAAATTATCCTGAACAACCAAGTGAACAGTAGCTTGAGAGAAACCTCAAACCAAGGGCAGACAGAAGAAACCACTTCACAACACCAAAACTGGTAGGAAGTGTGGAGGAAGGGTGAAATGGCTGGCCATGCTCTGGTAGGTTCCAGAGGGATATTTCAGTGAGCAGGGGGTTCCCCCTGACAAATTTTCAGTCTAAACCACAAGCTGGGTGTCCCAGTCTACAAAAACAGAGTCAAAAAAAGAACCCAGATAACATTCAGCTATGAAAAGCAGCAGGGCTTCTTTCCATCGTGGATAGAGAGCTGGGGACTGAAAGAGCCTCTTAAAGGGCAAATGCCCAAAATTTATTTTGTAGCCACTTACCCTTGGTTCCAGTGCAAGGAGGCCAGAGGGGACCAGAGATGCTTTATTAAGAGAGTATGGGGTTGGTGGCTCTTGGGAAAGAACTGAAGGAACAGCCACTAGGAACCTTATACTGAGACAGTCCCCATATTGTAGAATCCATCTTTCTCAGGCATAACACTCCTCTCCAAGTGGCATCAGCCTGAAGGGAAGCAATAACCCAGTCCACAGTAATTACCATGCCACATTTTCTGTTGTCCGAGCCAGACTGCTGATTAAAGCTTGAGGTTATATCACTGATCAGTTTAACAACTAAAGCAGAAAAAAACAAATAAGCAGCCAAAATGGGAAGACAAAGAGACAGATCCTAAGTGAAAGAACAAGAGAATTCTCCAGAAGAAGAACTAGATGAAATGGAAGCAAGCAATTTATCAGATTGAGACTTTAGACTAATGATTATACCAATACTCAACAACATGGGAAAAGACAAAAATATATATAAAAAGAAGTCAGAAAGAGAACATAATATCTGAAATTAATAATATACTGGAAGGAAAAAACAGTAGGGTAGATGAAGCAGATCATACCAGTGATTTGGGAGACAGGGTAGGAAAAAAACCCAGGTAGCAAAGAGAAAAAAGAATTTAACAAAATCAGGAGAGCTGGAGACACATTTTGGACAACATGAAGCATAACAACATCTACATAATGGGAATACCAGAAACAGAAGAGAGCCAAGCAAGGGATTGCGAACCTATTTGAAGAAATAATGACTAAAACATTCCCAAATCTAGTGAAGGAGAGAGACACAAAAGCAGAGGAATCTCAAACACTCCCAAACAACTTGGACCCATAGAGTCTATACCAAAGCACATCATAATTAAAATAACAAGTCTTGAAGACAAGAATAGAACCCCAAAAGCTGAAAGAGAAAAACAGGTAGTTATCCATAAGGGAGCATCAATTATATTGGCATCTGATTACTCAACAAAAGCATTTCAGGCCAGAGGGAAGTGGCATGAAATATTCAACAACATAAAAGGCAAGGACCTATAACCAAGGCTACTTTACCCATCAAGACTATAATTTGAAATTGAAAGAGAAATAAGTAGCTTCCCAGAGAGAAAAAGCTCAAGAAGTTTTTTAACACCAAAGTAGAACTGCAACAAATTGTTAAAGGGTTTGCTTTAAGAAGAAAATGAAAAAGAGAAAAAAAACAGAAAAATAGTCTAACAATGAAATGGCAATAAATATGTATCTATAATTAATCAGCTTAAATGTACATGGCTCAAATGTTCCAACCAAAAGACAAAGGGAAGCTGAATGAATAAGAAAACAAGACCCACATATATGCTTTCTTCCTTGTCAGATAGAACGATACACACAGACTAAAAGGAGAAGGACAGAAAAAGTTATTTCATGCAAATGGAAAGGAAAAAGAGCTGGGGTAGCTGTATTTATATCTGACAAAATAGACTTAAACTAAGGTTATAGTAAGAGACAAAGAAGAACATTGCATAATGATAGAGAGAACAAACATACCAAAAAAAGGATACAACCCTAGTAAACATTTATACATCCAACATAACACCTAAATATGTGAAGCTAAACTTCATGGACATAATGGAAAAGATTAAAAAATACAATCATAGTATGTAATTTTAACACCACATTGACTTCATTAGATAGATTTTCTAGACATGAAATCAACAAGGAGACCGTGACTTTAAGTGACACACTAGATCACATGGATTTAATTGATATCTACAGAGCATTTCATCCCAAAGCAACAAAATATACAGTTTTCAAGTGCACATGGAACATTTTATAAGATATGCAAAATGTTACAGCACAAAATAGGTCTCAATAAATTTAGGAAGATTGAAATCATATCAAACAAATCTCTGACCACAATGCTACAAAACTAGAAATTAATCACAAGAAGAACACCAAAAATTACACAAAGCCATGAAGGAATATGGTGACAGAGTAGGAGGGAGCAGACTCTACTTCCCCCTACACATAGGAGAAAAACCTAGCCAATCTACGGAGGAACAGAGCACACAGCCAACAGTACCCCAGCAAATATGAAAATCAGAGACCAAAAATTGTAGCAGACACTGAAAAACTGGATAGTAAGGAGAGTGCATCAGGACAATAAGGTCCCAGGAACCAGCTTGGGGACCAGGGCAGGTGTAGCCTCAGGCCCCTCCTTCAG